ACTCCGCCCCTGTCTCTCCCAGCTGACCTACGACTACCAGTTTGACTTTGAAGACGATCAGCACAAGATCCCCTGCCACTGCGGAGCTTGGAACTGCAGGAAATGGATGAACTAGCCGCTGCGGGGGCACCAGTGGGGCCCAGGCACAAGCAGCCCCTGGTGGGCAGCAGAGCCTGCTGCGAGGAGGCCTCTGTTGCAGGTTCTCCTCCCCCTTTGCCATGCAGGGGGAGGGGGGATCAGAGCTGGCCCAGGGGGAACGCCCACATCTGGAACCCAGGAGGCGAGGTTGGTGCAGGTGGGTCAGCCGGGGCCGCTTTCGGTTCCAACGGCCAGGGGGCACCAGTCCTTGCCCACCCCCAGCAGATGCCGCCCTCCTAACTTCCACAGGGAGGGCATATCGAAAGCACAGGGACCTTGGTTCTCTCCCTAGCCACTCCAGCCTGGCGCGCCATGGCCCTGGCTCTCTGCTGGCAGCGTGCTGCTCTCCCCAGGTGGGCGGCTGCAGCGCCACAAGTGGAACTGATGAACTGGCAACTCAGGGTTTTCTTTGTTTTGTTTTGCGAGGAGGACGGGGCCTGTGGCATCAACAAAACCAGCTCTGTCCGCCTTGCTCACTGAAGCACCTGTAAATAACTGGATGGATGCGGGGCGAGTGGGGTGCTCCCCCCCAGCTCTGGGGTGGGGCGGCCGCATTCTCGGACCCACGGGGAGGTCAGATCCAGTCTGTTTTTTTTTTAAAAAAAAAACAAAACTAATAATATTTGCTCGCTAACTTACCAAGGTAACAAAGAGACTCCTTGAGCTTGACAATCCCAAAACTCCCAGCCCCGCTCTGCTGGGCTCTCTGGAGACAGACAGAGCTCGCTTGGGTTTCGGTTTATTTCTTGTTCTGTCAATGGAAGCACCGTGAGCATGTGAAGGAGGCGCCAGCTGCCAGAGCAGAGCTGGGGAGAGCCGTGTGCAGAAAAGTCCCCCCTCCCCCATGGACGCAAGGAGCATCTGCACCCAAACCTACCTCATTTTAAGTGTTAGATTCTGCTGTTTTCAATGTGACCCTCCCTCCGAGACTGACCACATGCAACCTTCCTAGTTCTGAATGAGAACTAGTGGCAGTGGGCGGAGCCTGGGGAATCCAAGGTGTGGCAGTGGGTGGAGCCTAGGGCAGCCTGAGGGAGATTGTAGCCTTGCACGCAGACCTGGAAGGAGAGAGACCCTAAAGTATCTCCATCCCCCTCCAGCTGGGAAGTTGCGTGTTTCAGGATCCCTCCCTCCCACCCCCCAAGAGCCCCCCTAGTTGGATGCTCGGGTGTTCCTGGCTGCTCTCCCACCATGCACAAAGCTGGGCACTCCGGAGAGGTGGCGGTTTGAGGCTTTGCTTAGAATGTGCCAAGACCCTCCCCTTGCTTCCACCCACCTCCCCAGCATGGCACAAGCAGCAGCCAGGAGCCCCCCCAGCACTGAGTTTGGGGGCCGAGCTCCAGGAATCCTCAGTTGAGGCAGAGAGCTGGCTGCCACCGCCGCACTCCTGAGTTTGGCTGTGGGGTAGGGGGGCTGTTCTGGGTCCTGCCCCAGCCACTCCGCTCCCCCACCCACCAGGCCCCCTTTTGCTACCAGAACTGCTGCTCTAGGCTGGCCTCTGGAGGCTGCCTGTGTCTGTCATGTCGGCATGGTATGGGGGGTATTTATCTATTTATACCTTAGCTTGTATATATTAGAATCTATGGGGGCTCTCTTCTGTGCTCTGCTTGGCTGAGATCTTGGACTGTGGGGGAGGGGAGCATGTCCCATAACTAAACTGGGGGAAGCAAATCTCTTCCCTGCTCGCTGTTCTTGTCTTGTTAGCTAGAAAACCCGTATGTGACAGGTCCAGGGGCCTCCTGCCAGGGGCGGACTCGCTGGGGAGAAGAGAGGATTGGTGGGCATTACAAACTGGGCAGCGCTTCTCCCGCTCTGGCCTTCCCCACCACAGCATCCTATTGCTCGTCCAGGAGGGCCCCTCAAAGACTGCTGTAAACCAGATGGGGCAGGAGGTCCTGCTCTCACTGCCCTTTTCCATTAAACTGTAGGGTTTGACATCTCTTAACGCACAAAGGCATGACACCCCTAGTCCCCCAGGAAAGAATCAGAAACAAACTTCTGAGCTTGCTCTTCTCTGCTCTCCCATGCCACGGCTGCTTGACTCAGCTGAGGAGGGTTCTGTTTTGTATTAAACTTCCTTGCTCTCTTGGAGTGTGAGGGGGAATGAAATGAAGTGAGATTATTTTGGGGGGGGGGAATGAAATCTGGGGGCAGGGAGCCCAGGGCATTTTATGTTTTTAAATCAAAAGATTTTGAGTGAGAGAGAAGAGCTGTCACATTTTTAAAAAGCTGCTTCCGCAACTATTCAAAGCTGCAAAAGGTTTAAAATGAAATGTTAAAACTTGGGGTGAGGGCAGGGAATAATAAAATAAAAAATATACAAAAAATTTAAATTTAAAACTGTAAATAAAATGGGAGCTGTGTAGAGAAAAAAAAACGTTTTTACCAATAATAAAACCACTGGATGTTATTTTAAAATAAAATATGCGTGAGAGAGAAAAAGCCAGTATAACTTTTTGTTTTTTTTCCATTAACTTGGAAGGCTGTAAAGTGTATAAAATAAAAAATTTTAAAAAGTACTACAAAAAAGGATTAAAGCTGGGAGAGAGTAAAGAACAGAATATAGCAGGTTGTCTGACTTTTTAGACTATGGTTAGAGTATAAAATAGTTCTGTAGATTTTAGCTGGGGAGGGAGGAAAACCTATACAGTTTTTAATTTTTATATAAACTATAATCCAGTCCCAGAGCTGACATTTGATTTTTTTTAAAGTTCTCTGCTTGTAAAATTGCATTCAAAGCCTTGTCCAATACTTCTGTTTGTTTACAGTTGCAGATATTATATTTTAAGTTTTACCTTTTATGATCCTGAAATAACCATTTATTATTTTGTTGGTTTTTTAAAAAAAATAAAGTTTAAAATAAAACTATGGCAAGTGTGGACTCTGTGAGGAATCTTCCTTTGTGTTTGAGGTTTTATTTTGTGTGTGTGTGTGTATCCTGTACAGCGAGGTTGTCCTTCGTAACCAAGAAAAGAATGGAGGGGAAATAAAATTATTCCTTTTTTTTTAAAGAAAAACAACAAAAAAATGAACTTGTATGTGGCATGTTTTGTATTGGATATAATTTTGAAATGTATATAATTTATGTTTAAAGAGGCAAAGAGTGCGTTTCAAATTTTGCTTCTGAGTTTGTTTTTAAATAAAAAAATAAAGGTGCATTTTAAATACTGGGTGATCTTGGACTTCTGCTTGTGTGTGTTCTTTCCCCCACTTCCTCAGTTGAAATGTGGCTCAAGTTCCTGGCTCCTGCTTCCCATACGGTCTTCTGGGAAGAGATTTTGGAGACCGTCACTCTGGCCCAGTGCTGCATAGGCGCTGGAGGTGCCCAAAGGATCATAACTCTTCCCCTCCCTCCCTCCAATGTTCAGGACCGGTTGCTCCTTCCCTGCTGCTATAACAAGGG